CTAATAAATTCACTGAACTTCTAGTTTATAAAATTAATACACAAAAATCAGTAGCACTTTTACACTAAGGACACAATTTTCAATAAGGAACTGAGAACAATGCCACATAAGCCATCTAAGTGGTTCCAAATCTAGCATCATTTATTGAAAACCATATTTTCCCCATTTATTGGCTTCATTCCTCTGTCAGTTATCAGTTGGTGATAATTATATGGGCCCATTTCTGGGTCCGGTATTATGTTGCATTGGTTTATTTGTCCATTATTTTGCCAACATCATACTGTATTTATTACTGCACCTTTATAGAAAGATTGATGTTAAGTAATGTCAGTCCTTTAGATTTGTTCTCCTTCAATATTATTTTGACTATTCTGTGTCTTTTGCCTCTGTGTACACAATTTTAAATCAATTTGTTGATAACCATGAAATAACTTGCTGGTATTAATTAGGATTACTTTAAATCTATAAATCAAATTGAAACAACCAATATGTTTAGAATATTGAATTTCTACTCACGAATAAGGAATACCTTTTCATATGTTAGTTTTCCTTTTTTATCAGCATTTTGTATTTTTCTCATGTATAACTTTGATGCATTTTGTTAGATTTATACCAAAGTGTTACATTTTAAGAGATAGCAAAATGTTAATGACATTGTGTTTATTAAAGTCTACATGTTCATTATGGGTGTATAGGAAATCAATTGAATTTTGTATGTTAATGTGTCATGAAATCTGGCTATCCTCAGTTCTTAGTTACTGGAGTTTTTTTGTGGACTTGATAGATAGAGGATCATGTCATCTTTATTTTAAAGAATAAAAGAAGGATAACATAGTAATAGGGGGCTTTACTGAATTAGAGACAAAGTGATAGGACATTATCAATGGTTGTTATTTTACCTATTGCTATCTTCAAGATAGTTTCTCAGGAAAACAAGTAGATAAATAACAGTGAGTACCAGATAAAAATGGCAGGAAATTATCAATGGTTGTTGCACTATACTTTGGTTTCTTCAAAGTGGTTTCTATGGAAAACAAATTGAGCTATACATGAGTGATTAATTAAATAATCATTGACTATTCTCAATGGTTGTTGAAAACACATAGTAATAAACATATGTCCATTTATGAAATAGCATAGGAACAATTCAAACATTACAGAGTTATGGACAGATTGGTAGGAAATTATTAATGGCTGCTGTAATACATGTTGGTATCTTCAAAGTGGTTTCTCAGGAAAGCAAAGATATATGCAAGAAAGATCTAACAAGTAGTTACAGCCTAAGGGTTGTGTCATGTCATCTTTTTTTTTTTTTTTTTTTTTGGTTTTTCTCCGGTACCGGGAACCGAACTCACGACCTTGCGCTTGCCAGGCAAGCGCTTTGCCGCTGTCATGTCATCTTTAAACAGATACAGTTTTGTTTCTTCCTTTCCAATCTGCTTATTGCTAATTTCTTTTTCTTGTCATTTTATATTAGCTAGGACTTTTAGTATTATGTTGAAAAACAGTGCTGATAGGAGATATTCTTCCTGTGCTCTTGATTTTAGGGGGAATGTTTCTGGTTTGTTAGCATGAAGCATGATATAGCCATAGGTTTTTTGGTAGTGATTATTTATGAAATTGAGGAAGTTTACTTAAAATTTTTTTATGACTAGTTATGTTTTTTCTGTTCTTTCTCTGCATGCATTGATTTGATCATGTGATTTTTCTTCTTTAGCATATGACGTGACATTACAGTATAGATTTTCAAATGTTAAACTAGCCTTCTATATTGGGATAAATCTTACCTGCTCATAGTGTATAATTCTTTTTATACATGGTTATATAAATATAATTTAATATATTAGTGTTATGTATATAGTATATTTGCATGAAAAATACAAATTTTTTTTCAAAATACAAATTTTCAATAGTGGGAAATTCTTTGGGTACCAGCGAGTATTTCCATGTCTAAAACTAAATGTTAGTATAAACCGTGGTAGTCCAATAAAGGCCAGATCAAAGACGACATAAAATTTCAAGGAATGAAATTTTGTATTGTATCATTAGAAGAGTTTATCTTTACTCTTAGTCCTCTCTTTTCCATATTGGAATATATATAGAAAGTTGGGCCATTGAAGTCTGATCCTGGTTAGCAGTATGTTTATCTCTCCTAGGACCGGTTTGTAGTTGTATTGTGGTGACAGACTGACCCCTGGAATTTTTTAAAAGTTATGTCTTTTATGGTGATACCCTGCTTCAGAACCACTGATGGATTCTTGTGTAAACTTTTTTACCCTTAAGATACTTTGAATCATTCAGTCTTGGCTTTGATGTCTTTTATGGTTTCTCCAGCCATGCTTCTTTACCTCCAAAAATGTAAGGTCCATCAGTACAGGACTACTGTCCATTTCCTAACAGGCAAGATTATGGATCTATCCCTGAGCTTCTCTCCACCCTCACATTCCACAGAAATATTCAGGGGTGATAAGTGGTTATAATCAGCCACCACTAGAGGACTCAGAATTTTTCCTAGAGAGGTTCTGGGTAATTATTATTATTTTTTAAATGAGTTCCTCCAAGGTCTAGACTCCTCTGGGATGTAGAGCCCTTAGGTCCAGGGATGCGTAGAATGAGAAATATGAGCAGGGGTGATGCAGACATAGGTGATAACTACAGGTGCTGTTACTTCCTATGCCTAGAAGAATAAAAGGGAGCAGTACCTTGGGTCAGTGCTCTGGATTCACCCTCAGCCAGTCTGGGTAAGTTGGCAAGAAGGAGAATAAACTGATTCCTTACTGTTCTTCCAGCTTGAGGGTCTTCATTTCCCAGATTGTGTGATGTTCTGCACAATACTTTTTCATATATAACTTTTCTTTTCTCCATTGCTATCTCCCAAGACTTTTCTATGTTGTAGATATTTTCATTAGTGTTTAGCACTTACAATATTTATTAATGATAGCATTCATTAATATGATGTAATATAGTCTCCCAAGATTATATCATTTAAACATAACGACATCTCTGTGAGAGTAACCACTTAATACAGAAGTTATTAACCTTTGTCTATATAATTGAATTATTCAAGCAGCTTCAAAATAGTTTGGACATATCTCTTCTAAGAGATTTTGGGCACATTTATTTGGGATGGCAAATCTGTTTTATAGTCCTCCTACTCAAAGTATGGTCCACTAACCAGCTGAGTTAGCATCACCAAATGTAAAAATTGAACTTTTAAAATGTAGACTTTTAGGCCCCACAGCAGAGCTACTAAATCAAAATCATCATTTAACAGAGTAACCACGTACTTTGTATGTAAATTGTTTTGGAAGCTTTGCCCTTTGTGATTTCTGTGTGCAGTTCAGACTGAGAACTACACAATAAAAGGTGAGGATGGTGAGAAGCACCATGCACAGGAGCACTGAAACCCATGGGCCTGATTAGGGTGTCATGTGCAAGTGATGTCTCTGTGGTTTGTGATTCCTATTAATACCCTAGATGAGCCCCAGTCATTTCCCAGGGAAGGAACATTCTGAGAAATCAAATGTATAAAATTTTTCTGAATCTTTTCTCACTTGAAGTACTGGTGTGCTTTCTTCAAAATTTAAAAACTCCTATTGTGGCTAGATTAAGCACCATCAGCAGGGAGAACTTTCCAGTAATTGCACTCAGTTATGTCTCTTTTGGGGTGGAAATTCCCAAGACCTAATAATGTCCTCTTTATTTTCCTTAGCAATGAGTTGTGGATTTCTGGAGACAGAGTAGGGTGAGGTCTCAAAGGTAGAAATTATCTTCACTCCTTCTTATCTCCCCAAATTACTAAACCTATCATATTATTTTTATACCAATATCATGAATTTTGAGTGCATCAACACAAGGAACAAAATATCAATATGGTCTTGCATGTCTGGTTGTCTGTTTAGAGTGATTGGGTCACACAGTATTTTTTATAATGCTCTGAAGTTACATCCAGATAGTCCATAATAAAGTTTCAAAAGCTAGGACTGCATGCTTTGAGCTCTGAGTCCTTCTGGGGAGATTTAGTAGGAGTTGTTATTATAATTTAAGGGGAGTTTTCTAACCTTAAATTTTGCTAAATATATGTCTAGGCCTGGAGGACAACCAATAAATATTCATGAAACACTGACCATATCCAGGAACTATGCTATGAACTTAGCATGCTGCAGTCACAGAGACAGACATACCCTTGCATGGAGTGTACAATATGACAGGGAAGTCAGCTGTAAACAAGTAATCAAGGGCATGGAGTACTGAGGTGAGCACATGATGCTGCGGGAACATAGCAGCAGGTCTTACTTAATATGAGGAGATTGAGAAGATTTATCTGTGGGAGGGATGTGTAAGAAACCTGAAGAATAACTGGGGGTGAACCAGGTGAAGAGGGAGCAGAGAGAAGATGGGGTTAGGCAAGGGGAACAGCAAGTGTGAAAGATTGGGGTAAAAAATTATAATCTCAACTCTCTGGCTGAGTGGACTGGGAGGAGGGAAGAATGAATCATGATTTCATCTGAGGTATGTTGAGATGAAGGTGGGAATGAAGTGAAGATAGAGGTTCTGCCATGAGGTTTAGATGGTAACCAATGCCACATGAATAGGCAAACTGTCAGGGTTATATCTACGGAATAATGACAGTGTTAGGAGAAAGCTCAGGAAATAGTGATATATGAAGTTAGTGAGGAAACAAATTACAGTTATTGAGAGCAGAAGTATCAGGAGTATCAGTGTGTCCTCACAAAAGCAAATCCATGAGAGTGTTTTTGAAAGTGTGGGGAAATGCCAGTATTACTACTTGGAATTAGAAGGGAAGACCCTAAGACTGAGAGGTAGCTTGGATTTAGTGAAATGCCATATTCTTGATTATAGATTATTGCTTCATATACTGAGGTTGGGGCAAATTATTGCAGAACATTTAGGAGGCTAGGTATCACAGTCTGATGTTCATTTTTATTTGGATTTTAAGGGACCCTATTATTTTCTCTTAAAGATGCTGGAGACAGAGCATGAAAGGAAGCAATCAAACTTTCCTCTCACAGTTCCTCCTCCTGGGTCTGCCCATCCAGCCCGAGTATGAACACCTGTTCTATGCCTTATTCCTTGCGATGTATCTTACCACCATCCTGGGGAACCTCACCATCATCATCCTCATACAACTGGACTCTCATCTCCACACGCCCATGTATTCTTTTCTCAGCAACTTGTCCTTCTCTGACCTCTGCTTTTCCTCTGTCACAATGCCCAAGTTGCTGAAGAACATGCAGAGCCAAGTTCCATCCATCCCTTATGCAGGATGCCTGGCCCAAATGTATTTCTTCCTGTTTTTTGCAGATCTGGAGAGCTTTCTGCTTGTGGCCATGGCCTATGACCGCTATGTGGCCATCTGCTTCCCCCTGCATTACACCAGGATCATGAACCCTAAGGTTTGTGTGTGCCTGGTGATGCTATCCTGGGTGCTGACCATGTTCCATGCCCTGTTGCATACTTTACTCATGGCCATATTGTCTTTCTGTGGGGACAACGTGATCCCCCACTTTTTTTGTGACATGTCTGCACTGCTGAAGCTGGCCTGCTCTGACACTAGTATAAATGAATTGGTGATATTTGTCATGGGAAGCATAATTCTTGTCATCCTATTTTTACTCATTATTGTTTCCTATGCACGAATTGTATCCTCCATTCTCAAGGGCCCTTCTGCTCGAAGTATTCGTAAGGCCTTCTCTACCTGTGGTTCCCATCTCTCTGTGGTGTCGCTGTTTTATGGTACAGTCATTGGTCTCTACTTATGTCCATCAGCTAATAATTCTACTGTGAAGGAGACAGTCATGGCTATGATGTACACAGTGGTAACTCCCATGCTGAACCCTTTTATCTACAGCCTGAGAAACAGAGAGTTGAAGAGAGCCTTTGGAAGAGTCCTTTCTAAGAAGAAAATTGCCTTCTGATTACGATGGAAACAGTTGGGGTCTTTACATAATGTTATCCCATAGATATATTGATTTTTTTGAGTATTATTCTAGACCTTCTTCTCATCATAGAAGTTTCTGTTCAAATGAAAAACTATATAACTGAGTAAATAAAATAGCTGAAGTAGAGATATGTATTTTTTATAAAAGGTTTTTGTTAATCTACTAAGAAGGTTTTTCCATTTGTTAATTCCAGCTCAATTTGAATAACATAATTTAAAATATTTTAATCAAAATTTGTCTCTCTGAATTTTTTACTTTATGAAAAATAAAACACAATTTCATAACAAAATAAGGAAATAACAATAATACATTATGCATCATTATCTTCAAAGTAGTTATTTAGAATATAAGACATAGACAAAAAAAGATGTTCTCTTACAAAGAAGAAACAAATAAAAGCTCAAAGCTCTCTCTTCAGTTCTTTTTTAGAAACCATAACTCTGCTTTAAATGATGTTTTTCCATGTCAATACTAGGGGTTACATAAGCCAATCATCCCGCTTGCTCTTCTAAACTGAACTTTTCATTGTTTAACAAAATTTCTTTACTTCTCTCTCTCTGAGAAAGTGTTCATATTATTCTGTCTCTTAATATTTTCCAATTCCTTTTTTCTCATGTCTGTCTGTATTGTCTTTAAAAAATACTGAACTGTGCCTAAAATGAACTTTTGTTTGCTATGTTACTGTAGTTTGGTTTGTATTTACCCAGGAGCCAAGAGTATGGGGCAGGAAGCCAGAGTCTGTTTGTCAATTGCGGTTTTTAAGGGTCACTTTTCTTTCTTTTGCATTTCAAATTTGTCAAGAAACTTTATTTCTATGATTTTAATGCACTCTTGTTGTGATTCCCTGGAGGAAAGGAAATCTTGTTACCATGTTAAAAGATTGAAAACTGGAATTTGAACTTGGCAATGTTGCAGTATATGTCAGTATTGAACCTATTTCAGATTTCAGACTACTTGACTCTGGGGTTTGTCTTCTTATTTTCCCCAGCCATTCATTCTTCAGTCTTGGTCTGTTGACTTCCTTGTGGTCCCTTTAAGTGATGCCCCCATACCCATTTTAAAGTCTTCTCTAACATGAAGTCCAGACTCTGTCCACTTCCCAGTTTTATTCTTATCTCCCAGTAGACATGCCCTCTTGATGTTTTTTGACATGTATAAAATTGAACTCTTTATTATTTACTCACATTTACTATCTGTTTAACTGTCTATTCTTTCCATGTCATTACCCAGGAAATTGTATATCAGTGCAAATATGTATATATGTATGTATGTAGGTGTGTATGTATTGTTTGTATCCACATGGAAAAAATGAAGTTGGGTTCTTCATTTCACATACCAAAATTTACTCTAAATGAGTTGGACTTAAATTTAAAAGCTAAGACTATAAAACTTTTAGAAGATAACATGGCATAAATATTCATGGTCTTGGATTTGGCTATAGTTCCTAGGATAGTACAAAAAAAATTTCCATATGCAACAGAAGCAAGAATAAATAAGTGAAAACTTTTGTACATCAATGGACAATGTCAGGAAGACTAAACAATGACTCCTAAGTGGGAGAAAACATTTCTATGTCTGCTAGTAAGATTCTGGGATGTAGAAATGGGTAAATCTCTTACAACTCAACAACAAAAATGCAAACCACTCAACAAAAATGTGCAAAATAATTCAACAAACATTCCTCAAAAGGAGATGTACAAATAGCCAACATATGCTCAAAAAGATGCTCATCATCACTAGCTAGCCTCTAAGATTCTCAGATTTTCAAAGAACTTTTCTGCAGTAGCTATTCTCCCATGAGCTTGGTTTTAGTTTTTGAAAATTACTGATACACACATTTACCTGGCTGAATCTATGAAACATTATGCTGAGCTGAAGAATACCATACAAAAGAATATACATTAAATGATTCTACTTATATGAAGTACAAAAACTGCAATAGAAATCAGATTAGTGTCAAGAGGTGGGAAGATGTGTGGTTCACAGTGAATTGTGAGGTGGCAGATTTATGCTATGCTTGGGGTAGGGTAGAAGTTACCTTCCAAAGTCTTCAAACTCTATATTTGACTATTTTAAAAAAATGGTTAAATGTCTTTGTATGTAAATTGTAATTCAAGAAAATTGAAAAATTTACAAAAGATTACTCTTATGCTCACATCTTCACTATTATCATAGGCAGTCAAGTATTTATAAATTTGCCAATTAAATGGTCACCAAACGATTCCATATTGTCTTTCAATTTTCTTTTCAATAAGAATGGCTATTACCAAGAAAGACTAAGGAAAAGAAGTGCTTGCTGGAAAAGTTGTGGAGAAAAAGAACCCTCACATACTATTGATGGGAATGTAAATTAGCACAGCCATATGGAAAACAGTATGGAGGTTTCTCAAAAAATTACAAATAGAACTACTATGTAATCCAGAAATCCCTCTACTGGGTATATATCCAAAGGCAGTGAATTCAGTATGTTGAAAGGACATCTACACTCCCATGTTCACTACAACACTAACAACAGCCAAGAAAGAAATGGAAACAACTTACTTGTCCATTAATTGATGAATGAGCAAAGAAAGTGTGATATATACACACAATGGAATACAATTCAGATATAAAAAATGAAATCCTGTCATTTGTGACAGTGTGGGTAGAACTGGAGGTAATTATGTTAAATGAAATTACCAAGGCACAGAAAGACAAGTACTGCATGATTTTGCTCTTATGAGGAATCTGAACAAGCGGATTTTGTAGAAGTGGAGGTGGTTACCAGAAGCTGTAGAGCTTAGAGGAAAAAGGCAGGGAAGGACAGGGAGAGTACAGTTAGTTAGGAGTGAGAAATTCTGATGTGCTATGAGTATTAGAGTAATAAAGTACAAGAATGTACCATACATTTCTAAAAGCTAAATGAAAGGACTTTGAAAGATTTTACCATATGGAAATGATGTTTGAGAATATATGCCAAACCAATCAGTGGACTGATTTAATAACCACATGCATTTAATTTCAGCATCACATGCTCTAGACCCAGCCACCTCTGAAAAAAGCCCCACCATGACCACATGAGGTTTTGGGGGGTGCATCTAGATAGAGGCCATAATAAACCACATTCTATTTTTATAAATATATATGTTCTCATAGAGAAGTGGTTACTCACTTGCTTACCCAGTGGTAAGAGGATTAGAAGTGACAAAATAAATCAGGGTTTGGAATAAGGGACAATGAACAGATGTGAGCGGAACATAAAGAATTCAACATTGTGCATGTTGGGAGTGAAGTGTTTATGGAAGCCCAAGGGGAGATGTCTACCAGGAAGATGAGAAGAACAGCTGGGAGCTCTGGTGGAAGGTGTGGGACTCAGACAGAGATATGGGGGGTCACAGAATATTCAAAAGGATGAAAGGGATGGGTTTAAATTTCATCACTTAAAGGGAACAACTAAGGAAATGAACTAACCAAGGTTGGAAGACTAGTCCATGCCATGGTGAAACTAAGAGCGTCAAACAGAATGGCTGCTCCCTTCCTAAATAGGAGAAAATGAGAAGAAACCATTGGATCAATCTGCCATCTTACACAGGTTCAATAACTGACAGTGCAAAACATTGGAAGTCATTGAACTTCATTTATTTCAGTATGCAAAACACTGATAGTATCTTCTCTACAGTTTTTGGATTTGTCATGAGGGATACACAGATACAAACACACAACACAGTTTACAATGTCAAAATATGAATCAGAAGACAGGCATCCTTTGAATCTGAAAATTTTACTACCCTCTAGCTTCTTTCCACAATCCTAGAGAAACGTCTTCTATAATTCCTGGCTACCAGTTAATTACAAATTAATGAAAAATTATTCAAATAAGACTATTATACAAAATGAACAGAAATTTTGTTTAGGGTCAACACAGATCAGAAAAGACAATGTAGAAAATTTAATAGGGGTTGTGGGAGTGTTAAGGCATAAACTGATGTCAAAATTTGTGCAGGAAGAATGTGTAGCAGACATGAGAAGAAGGTTAGGAGGTTTAGACATTTGAAAATTATTGACATTTGTGTGTTATTGAGTGTCATTTGGAGTACTATTTAAAAGTGATACCAAATTCAAAGAGGAATTCTTGGTAAATGATAAAATCTTAGAATTAGAATGTAAGAAACGGAGGTGACATAAAACAGTAGCTCTCATACTATGCTTTCCCAGGATCACCTGGGCAAGACAAAGAGGAAAGCATAGCCAGGTCACAAAGACCCCATTCCCTAGTTAAACTACAAAGCTAAATATCCTTCTTTACATATTGAACAATTATGTAGAAGCTCCCATATGAGGAGGGAAATCCGCAATAATATTCCAATATTAATATATCTGCTGGATAAAATTATGTAAAAGTCCCAGTGTTACCATCCAAGACAGAAGAGAATTTTCTTTTTACATATGACTCTTCCCAGGGCTCCCTTCATGTCTCCTTTCCTCAGGCTGTAGATGAACGGATTCAGTATGGAAGTCATCCCAGTGTACATCACAGCCATGACTATCTGCTCTACAGCAGAATTATTAGCTGATAGACATGAGTAGAGGCAATGATTGTCCCACAGAACAGCAACACCACAGAGATATGGGAACCACAGGTGGAGAAGGACTCATGGATACCTTATGCAGAAGGTGCCTTGAGGATGGAGGACACAGTTCATGCATAGGAAACAATAACGAGTAGAAATGAAATAACAATAAATAGCCCTACCTTGATAAATATTACTAACTCATTAATATGAGTATCAGAGCAGTCTGGCTTCAGCAGAGTTGATATTTCACAGAAAAAGTGGGGGATTGCGTTGTCCCCAGAGAAAGGCAATCTGGCCATAAACAGAAGGGCATGGAATATAGTCATCCCTGAGGATAGCACTACCAGGCACAGAGCTTAGGGTGCATGATCCTGGTGTAGTGTAGTGGGGAACACATGGCTACATAGCAGTCATAGGCCATGG